ACCGGGCACACTGCTGGTGGCACATGGCACCCCCGAGTCCCAAGTGAGCAGACTCAGGGCAACCGCTCAAAGTCCCCCCGGAAGACACCGCTTTACTTTACAACTCAGTGCCTCTCTCATGCCTTCCCTTATGTCTTGAAGAGCCACAGTGCAATCTTCCGTGAGAACTCCCCCCGGATATGAACATACTGTTCTTTTTGGTTTTATTCACAGCTTATGCCTTGTCCTAGAGGTCAGCAGGCACGTGGTGACGAGCTGTCCCTGCGCCCGCAGCAAACAGCCCGTGACACACGGGTTCCGTGGGGATCCACCGCTCCTTGTGCCGACGAAGAGCAATCCTCTTAACCGCTACAAGGGGGTGCCCGGGGCCAACGGGGGTCGGGCCTGCTCCACTTTACCGTAAATGACGGCAGCGTCTCGAGCTCTCTGATTTTAACGGCGAGCCTGATCTTGTCCTTTCTCAGCAGGCGGTTCTCCTTCTGGGCCTCCAGAAGGTTGGCCGAGACGTGGCTGCTGGTCTGGGCCAGCCGACTGACCTCGTTCTGGAGGAGGAAGTAACTGCCGGCCAGCTGCTCCTTCTCCCGCAGGATCTCGGCCACCTTCTGGTCTGACCGTGCCTTCCTCTCCAGCAGGTCCAGGTGCTCGGCCTGCAACCCCTGGGCATGCGCCCGCAGCTCCTCCACCTCCTGCTCCAGCAGAGCCAGGCGGCCTCGCAGCTGGCTGGCCTCGTGGGCGGCCGCCTGGGTCTCCTGGGCGCGGGCCTCCCGCTCCTGCACCAGGGCCTGCTGTGCCGCGAGCCTGTCCTCCGCCAGCCGCTGGCACTCCTCCTGCCACTCGGCGTCAAGCGCCTCCTTTGCCTGCAGCATACTGGCGTGTGTCTTCTCCAGGCTGCGGGCCGCGTCCCGGGCCTCCTGCAGCGCCGCCTCGAGGGCCGACTGCTTCTCGAGGGCCGACTTCTTCTCGGCCGTGAGCTCCTCGATCTCTTGCACCAGCGACTTCTGATCCCGAGCCAGCTCCTCGTAGGAGCACTGCAGCTTCTGGATGATGTTGTCCTTGTCCTTGGCCAGGGATAGGTTCTCCAGAACCAGCTTCTTGACATGCTCCTCCAGCTGGCCCCTCTCCTCCAGGCCCTTCTTACACTCGGCCACCAGGCCGCTCTTGCTCATCTGCAGCTCCTCCACCAGGGCCTGCAGCCCCACCTTGGCGACCTGCAGGGCGTCGTTCTCCGCGCGCACCCTCTGGAGCTCCTCCTGCACTGCCCTGCCCTCTTCCAGCACTTTCTCTTTCTCCGCCTGGAGGGCTTCTCGGCCGAGCCGCTCCTCCTGCCAGAGCTTCTCTGCGGCCTGCCTGGCCTCGATGACCTTCTCTTTATCGAAAAGAATCGCTTGGTTCAACAGCCAGAGCTTCCTCTGCTCTTCCCGCAGCGAAGAGTTTTTGGCCTCCGCTTCCTTCAACTTCAATAGCAATGACTCTCTCTCTGACTTCAGAGAGAGCTTCTCCTTCGCCAGCAATTGATTCTCTGACCTCAGGGCCCTGCGATCCTCCGACATCAGCTCAATTTCCTCTGATGTTATTAGGTAAGTTAATGACTACAGAAACAAAAGCGGGGAAGAATGGAAACAAGAATGAGATCAAGCAGGCACAAGCAAGCCAAGCACTTAATGTGGCCTAAATACCAGAAATGAAAATGGCAGAGTAGTCTTACCTGCACACACGTGTATATGCGCGCGCGCACACACTCACACACTCACACACTCACACACACACACACGCACACACACGCAGGATGGAGAGGCTCAAACAGTTAGCTTCACAGGGTCAACATATCTACCTGCCTTTTTTGTGGATGGGGGCCCCACACCTGGAGGTGTTCCGGGCTCGCTCAGGGTTCTGTGCTCAGGGATCACTGCTGGCAGGGCCGGAGGACCATACGGGATGCTGGGGATCAACCCGGGTTGGCCGAGTACAAGGCAGCACTACCCATTCTACTATCAGCCATTTTATTTTTGAAATGCCGTCTGAAATTATTCCTGACAGCTCCCCGGAAGGTTTAAGTACAGTTGGATCTTGACGTTGGGGCATAAGATTTTTTCCCCCCACTTCAATTATTCTATTATAAAATCCATCACTGTCATAGAAGGGATGCATTAAAAAACTAGTTTTCAGTACAATTCAAAGAACTACAAAAAGTATTTTGTTTTTGAACTTTGTGCAGAAGGGGAAGGCAAAACAACCACTGCTGGTCAAACGATTTTCACAGGGACAAACAGAGGCAGGAAATGGACTTAGTCCCAAAAGTTATACACTTTATAGAAAATCCAGACTAATCCACCAAGCTTTGGAGACTGAAGCCAACAGGTTTTGCTTGCCAAACACAGTAACAACAAGTCTCAAAATGGAGACATTAGTGGGCCCGCTCGAGCAAATCGATGAACAATGGGAGGCAGTGTTTGCAGTAATTTGGGAGGGGCCCAGAGGCTCCAGGAGGAGTGGCCGCACACGGGCCAGGGTCTCCCTCACCTGCTCTCCCTGCCCGTCAGCAACGGGTTGTGCGTTTTCGTTTCTGAGTCTCAATGCACACCATAGTTTAACTGCCATGTACTTTCCAGAACTTTCTGCAGCAAGGGCTATCTTCTCTGTCCAGCTCAGCAGCCATGAGCCACAGCGGGCTACTGGCGTGTGCTGGGCAGCTGACCGCTGAGGGTCATGTTACCGGAATGGGGCTGACCTGAGCATGCACACGAGGCTGCTGGCCACAGAACTGGGCTGTGCAGGTGGTCCAGAGAGGAGACGTAGCCCTGGCTCTGGTGCGTGGTGGAAAGAGGCCGGGCACCAACACACACGCGGGCCATGGCCGCCACTCAGCAGCCCTGGTTTCCTCTGATGTAAGCTCGCTTCCGTTTTCTTTGCATTGGCTTATAGATATGTATACACACACATATACATACAAGCACATATATGTATAGGCATACACATATATGTATAAACTATACATGGGACCAAGCGTGGAAAACTAAAAATGTATCAAAATATGTACATATGAATTAAAATACACTTATTATATGGATATAAAGATGTACACATATGTACATGTTATGTATGTACACACATATATGTGTGTGTACATTATTTTCCTTTTTGTTTTGGGGTTCACACCCGGCAGAGGTCACGACTTCCTCCTGGGTGCTTGGGGGACCCTGGGGGATGCTGGGGATCCCCCGGTGGGTCACGTGCACAGCAAGTGCCCTCTCACTGCACTAGTTCCAGCCGCTCTATTTCTCCCCACTGAGCTTCGAACCTTAACATTTCTCTGATACACTAAAAAATGCGTTTGAGCAATCAAGTGAAAACACGAAGGCCTGAACTTACTGAGCAAGCTAAAAACAAAACGGACAGCCCAAGCTGGGGTCCCTGGGCTTCTATGTGCTCTGCCGGGCGCCCCGGGAGCAACCCCCTTCCGGCTCTCACAGGCGCCAACGGGCGGAGGAAGTGTCTGAGGCTGCAGGCCGAGGCCCCCAACAGAGCCCGACCCCGAGACGGCGGCCCTGCGCCCACACACCTTGGCCTTGTCGGCTTGCGTCTTCAGCTCGGCCACCTCCCGCAGCAGGCTCCCGTTCTCCGCCTGCACCGCCTGCAGCTTCTCCTCCGCCTGCAGCAGCAGCTTCTGCAGGGCCTGCAGCGCCTCCTCGTGCTGCGCCTGGCTCTCCGTGGTGGACTTGGCGTGCTCGGCCTGCAGAGCCTGGGACTGGCTGCGGCTCACGTCCACCTTCTCCCCCTGCGGGGAGCCGGGGGCCACCATCAGCCGCAGGCCTCCTGCCTGCCCCCAGCACACACGCGCGCACACACATACACACACACACAACGCACACAAACACATAAACATACCCGCACACACACGGGCGACTCTGCTCTGCTCACCAGCACACACACACAATGTTCATGAAAATGAACTTGCACTTAGAACATAGATATTGGGGGCTGAAGGGCTGGCACAGGGTCCAGGCGCCCGAGAACAACCAGCCGGTTAGACCCTGAGCCAGGAGTACCACCGAGTTTGGGGGGAGCCCCAATAAACATGGTGATCATCTGGGGGCTGGGAGAGAGAGAGCACTGAGTAAGGCCACTTGGCTCTGGTCTGAATCCCGGCACTAACAGGAATATCCTGAGCACAAAGCCAGGAGTCGCCTCCAAGGACTGACAGGCATGGCACTAGTCCCCCACAACCACCATCAAAAAATATATATATATATATATATATATATATATATATATACACACACACACACACACCCAAGGGCCAGAGCAATCACCCAGCGGGGAGGGTGTTTGTCTTGCACAAGGATGACCCGGCTTTGATCCCCAGCATCCCATAGGGGATGCACCATCAGTAGTAATTCCTGAGTGCAGAGCCAGGAGTGACCCCTGAACACCCCCAACTGTGACAAAAAGACAAAAAACAACAAGAACTACAACAGGAACAAAAAAACCCCAGAAAACAAAAATAATCTACCCCAAACTCACACACACAAAAAAACAAACACACACACACAAAAAAAAAATCCTAAAAAGAAAACCAGAAAACACACTTTGATCCAGTGCAGGAAGGTGTCTGGAAGGTTCCAGAAAAGCGGCCTTCCCAGTGCATGTCTCTCACCCCCTCCCCTTGATGTGAGCCCCCAGTGCTCCCGGCTGCCAGGGGAGACAGAGCCGAGGGGGCAGGGGCACGGGAGAGGAGCCTGAGGCGCTGCTGAGTGGAGGAAGGAGCCCGGCACTCCGGGAGCATTGCTGGCCACTCACTGATCAGGCAGAGGAGACGGGCACAGCGGGGACAGAGCAGCGCACCTACCTTTGCTGCCCCAATGGGGGCTCGCGCAGTCCCTGGGGCTTTCGAGCTGACACGCTCATGAGCCTCAGAGGCGATAGGGGCCGAGCTCGCCTGAGGAGGCTTCGCTTTACCCTCAGCAAGGTAAAGATCAGCGTCCGACTCCCCTGGTACTCACCAAACTCCGAAGCTCTTTCTCCAAAGCCTCCTTCACTCGATTGACTTCGTTCAAGTTCTCCTGAAGACTACGAAGCGCTAGCTCCTTCCCCTGCAGCTCCTCGGCCAGGCTCTCGGCCTACCAGAGTGACAAGGATGGAGTGAATGGACCAAAAATACGAACAGGAACAGGAAGGGGAAAACAAAACAGAAAGCACATATGAGAAGCCCATGACCCAACACAACCCCGAAGAACAGAGGCGTGAGGTGAGCGTGATTGCCTGAAGCTCTCAAAGCCAAGGCCTTGGCGCCATCAGTTCTGGTGATGACTGTCTAGTGGTTATTGAAAATGGCTCAAACAGAGGCATTTTCTAGACCTACATTTGGAGTGACCAGAAAATAAGAAAGCCTATGAGAAAGACTGACTTTCAAGGGGCGGGGAGACGGCACAAAGGGCTGGAGTACACACCAGGCCCGAGTTTGAACTGCAGCACCACTGGGCGAGCCTGAGATCGGTCCACAAGCTGAAAAGACCAGCTACTGCTGGGTGGGAGGACCCCAGAGCCGAGAGCATGGCTTGGCGAGGAAGAAGGAAGTAAGCAAGGGAGGAGGGAGGCTAAGGATACGAAGGAGGGAGGGAGGAAACAGGGAAGAAAGAGAAAGGGAGGGGAGGGAGGGAAGAAAAGGTTTATCTTTTTTTTTTTTTGGCCTGCTCGAGCTAATCGATGAACAACGGGAGGACAGTGACAATGACAGTGACCCTATGGGATGCTGGAGATCGAACTCACTTAGGCCGTGTGCAAGGCAAATGCCCTTCCCACTGTACTATCACTCTGGCCCCCAAGATTTACTTTCTTGTAGTTTCTTGTCTGTGACTTTAAAAGTTTGAGGGGTTTCAATATGAAATTTAAAATGAAGAACCTCTAATCCACTAGGCAGCAGTCACCAGAACTTGACGTTTGTTACATCTTGATGCGAACAAGTGGCTCAACTATCCCCTGCTGTGTCCTAGGAATTGATTCCGTTTGTTTCAGCCGGTGTTTCCGGAATGCCAGCTAAGGAGTCCTGAGTCCTGAGAGGAACTCCCGGGAATCTCTGGGTCCTTCTGTTATGTCTGTCACTCCTGTCTACAAATCCCACAGCCCTTCCATCTTGGCCAACAGAGAAGTTTCTCCAACAAAGCGCCCAGCGCCTGGAGGGGGGAGAAAGGGGGAGAGGGGGGCGGCTGGGAGGGCATGTCTCTGCCACCACAATCCTATAGGAGGAAAAGGGCATTTCTCGGGGCTCCTTGGTGAGAACTGCAGCTTCCTCGGCTTGGCCCAGATCTCACTGTCTTGTCCTTCCGCAGGGTCAGGGCTACCATGAGAGTCCATGCCCGCAGTCAACAGGAGGCCATGATGGAAGGCGGACTTGGCCCAAGCACCCCTTAGAGACTGAAAGGGATGAAATCTCTGCAGGGCTGGGCGGGGGCTTGTGCTGCAGGCAGGGAGGGGCCGGCAATGAGAAATACCAAGATGGACCACATCACCAGCCCTGAGGGAGCGCAGAGGCTCAGAGGCATTGAGCACGAGCTGGAAACTGAGGCGCCTCGGGGACAGGATGGCAAAGCCAGTCACACGAGCAAGTGGTCAGCAAGGTCAGGGAAAGACTCCTGCGGCCAGACTCGAGCCCAAGGGTCTGGGCGGACTTGGCGAGTACACAGGGGGCCCAAGGCGGGGGGGCCGAGGTTTGCTTTGGGGGCTCCTATCTTGTTTTCTCACTGGCCTTGTGAAGAGTTCTCAGTTTCAGAAAGACCCCAGACGGGCCCGATTAGCCGGGGCCAAGGCTAGCACGGCATCCGGGAACTGGGGACCAATGACAGCCCCAGAATCGTGCCGACACGTTCTCAGTCCCATCAGAGGGAACCGCACGGGACGTGACTGGGAGACCTGTCACCACCAAGCCAGAACACGGCGGCAAGCAGACTGACACACAGCATGCAGGGAGCGAGCGTGGAAGTGGGCGAGGGCGCCCGGGTACCAACCTGCCGCTCTCAGCCCACTTTGCATTCTCTAACTCCTGAATCTGCCGCTCAGCCACCTGGAGCTGCTGCCTGAGCTTCTCCATTCCCAATTTACCTCGGAACTGGCCTTCCGGAGCCCATCGAGCTGCAAGAGCTTCTCCTGGGTGGCCTCCAGCTGCGCCGTGGCGTCGGCCAGGGCCTGGGCTTGCTGACTACACATGGCCCGCAACCCCTCCAGGTGCTTTACCTTTGTCTCCGCCTCCTGCAGCTTGTTCAGGGTGTCCTCCATCTCCACCAGGTGCTGGTCCTCGGTCTGGTCGAGCTTGGCCCGCGCGGCCTCCAGGCTGTTCTTCTGCTCCTGGGCCATCCTGACCAGCCGCGACCTGAGCGTCTGCAGCTCAGAGGCGTGTGCCGCACGCTCAGCCACCTGCTGGGCCTTCACGTTCTCCACCTCCTGCTGGGACTCGAACTGCAGCCTCTCCATCTGCATCTTGAGCTCGGCCAGCTCAGCCGCCTCGGCACCCACGCCCCGGCTCACGAACGCCTTCGGCTCGCCCATGGCCTGTTGGTGCGGGGCGATGGCTGTCTCCAGCTTGGACTTCCACGGGGCGATCACGTCCGTGTTGTCCTCGTTTGCGTGGTCCAGCTTGGTCCTCCCCCACTCGTTCTCCTTGGCGAGCTTCTCGGAGGCCGCCTGCAGGGCCTTCACCTCCTTCTGGTGGGAAAACAAAATTTCCATGAACTTAAAACAGGAAGGAAAAGAAGCAGAAATAGAAATTATTCTTTTGCAAACTGACTGTTTGCTTTTTCTTGTTTTACGGAATTTCATTTTTTTCATTTCATCATCCTGTTATTCGTCGATTGCCTCGAGCAGGCCCCAGTAACGTCTCTTTCATCCTAGCCGTGAGATTATATTCAAGGCTATTTAGGAGAATGAGACCCATCATTGTTACTGGTATTTGGCATATTGGGTACGCCACAGGGAGTTTGCCAGACTCTGCCCTGTGGGCAGGCTACATTCGATAGCCTGCAAGTTTGTCCAAAATAGGAATGAGACAATAAGGTGTCAAAAAACAAAAGTTCTGATAAGATGTCGCGCGGCCGCGCGGTTCTGGGATCTGGATTTTATAGTCTCTGAGTCTTGGCCGCTGATGGGATTACATGGCGCCAGGGGGCCAGGTGGTGGGTGTGACCCCCGCCTACTTAAAAAAACTGGGGTTCTAAAGGATTTGATTTGTGCTGCTCGACTGAAAATTAAAGCTGAGGCAAAGGCGTAGACCCAACTGTCAGAACGAGAGAAAAACGCTCATCAACAGCAGCCTCCGGCCCCAAGGAGCAGAGGTGCCTCCGCCGGGCCCTGCCAGGTGCATGACACCAGGTATCCCTGTCTGATTTGGAGTCTCCAGCAGAAGTGGTCCCGGCGGGGTCGGCCCGGCCACCCCGCATCCTTGCCTGCACCCTGCAAGCCTCTTGACCTGCCCGGGCTTTACCTCCAGGTCGCCTTTGGTGATGGACTCCTCTTCGACTCGGAACTGGAGGTCCTCCACTTTCCTGTTGGGGAGAGGGAGAGTTGTGAGGGGTGTCACTGCTGCCCCCCATGAGGGCCACCATCCTGTAGATGCACGCCTGACCCAGCCCCCGCCTCCACACACAGGAGGGCTGAGAGAGTCAGCGAGGGCCAGAGCGAGAGTACAGCGGGCAGGGCATTTGTCTTGCACGTGGCCGACCCGGGTTCAATTCGGACCTGAGCAATGCCAGGAGTAATTCCTGAGTGCCGAGGCAGGAGTAACCCCTGAGCATCACTGGGTTGACCCAAAAAAAAAAAAGAAAGTCAGCGAGTCCCCTCGGCTGCGAGCACTGGGTGGTACCCGCAGGCTACAGGAGGAAGCTCTGTCGAGCCAACGCCAGGCGCACTGTCATATCAGCCTTTTCTGCCTCGCAGCTAACAGAGGTGGTTAGAGACTGACCAGGTGCGCATGCCAGTCCCTCCCAGCCAGCGCCTGTCCCCGCATCGGGACAACAACTGAGCCCCTGGGAGAGAAGCAGCAAATGACTCGGGGCCAGGGCGGGGGGTAGGAGGGGCTCCCAGGGGACGTGGTGAGTTCAGCATGTGGAGCTGAGGGGCTGAGCCGGGCACTGGCAGTGCCCCTGGGCACCACACTGCCAGGAGCCCATCTGAGAAGACGGTCTTGGCCGGCACCCCATGTCCGTCTGTCTGCAGCCTGGCCTGAGCCCTGCCTGTCTGCTGCCGTGCCCCATGGATGCTGCAGGTTTCCTCCTGCCCAGGACTTAACCCCAGGGACTCCCACAGGGCCCCACTGGGATACGACAGTTCCCAGCCAGCCAGCACAGGTCTCCTGAACACCAGGCCACGTGGACACTGCAGGGAGGGCCGGGGGTGGCTGGGCTCCAGTGAGCTCCCCCCATCCCCCCCCAATGAGGCCACTCTTAGGACTGGGCACCCGCTGGTTTGTGGTTCTCACAGCCCTGGAAGGCCAGGAGCACCCCACCCGAGGCAGCCCCCCAGCTCCTGGCACGGCCTCACCTCTTCTCCTCCTCCAGCTGGTTCAGCAGCTCCACCTTCTCCCAGTCGCTCGCTTCCAGCATGGCCCGCAGCTCGTCCATCTTGGCCTCCAGCTCCAGGATGTGCTGTGGAGGCAACTGCGCGTGAGTGTCCTCGCCCGCCCCCGACAGCCCTCTGTGGGCTGGCACCGCCACCTGCCACCGCAGCATGCTGAACGCGTCTCCCACCTAAGATGCAGCATTTCTGGAAGGCGGGAAGGGAAACACAGCACGAAAGCACCGGCGGGGACAACTCGGCGCTCCCTGAACCCCCACGGGGCGAGCAGAAGGTGCATGCGATCAAACCACGTGGCGGACGCCACCGCAACGACGGCAGACGGGGACCCACGGCCTCTCCCTGCACCGCCTGCACCAAGCTCGCGCCCAGCCTCTGCTGCAGGCGTCTCTCGGACCCGGCACTGCCGTCTGCACAGACGTCACCTGGTTGTGCCCATCCCGGCCAGGGCCAGCTCCTGCTCTATCTCCCCCACATGGCTCGTGGCCTTGGCCACCTCCACCCGCTCCAGGTCTCGCTCGGCCAGCAGCTGCTCAATGTGCTGCTGCTTCTCCTTCAGCGCCTCCTGGAAGGCGGTGGTGCCGGAGATCTTGCGGGCGCAGCGGGAGGAAGTTACCGGCAACTGGAAAGGAAAAAGAGACGTGAAGGGGGTGGGGGCGGCGGACGCGGGCATGCATGTGGCTATCTTCAGCAAAGCAGATGGAGGAGCACTGCATCCGTGCATATGGGCCACTGACTCTCAGCAGAAGCGTCTTGAAACCTTCCCGAAGATCCTTGGACGGGACCTGGGCTCCACTGACCTCAGGCCTCGTGGGAATCCAGAGACTCTTCTGCAGAGCCGGAGGCAGCCCCCTCCACAGCCCGCTCTGGCCTGAGCTTCCTTAAGGCTGAGCCCTTGGCTTGAGCTTGAGGCCGGCTCCAGCATCTTCAGCCTTGCACGTCCGTCCGTCAGGGTCTCCCCAGGGCAGCCTGGCCCTTCTCTCTTCCTCTTCCTTCCAGCTCACCTCGCTCTCCCCAGCACACGCCCCAGGCCTGAACAGCAGGAACCAGAGACTCTTGTCTCTGGGAATGGCCCCGTGCACCTGAGGGTCACTGGGTGTGACCCCATAATAGACCCCTGTGCCATCTGCCTTCGAAAGGGGGGATGAGAGGCTAGAATGGTAAACTTGCGGGGAAGGCGCTGGCCTTGCACGCCACTGACCCGAGCTGGATCCCAGGTACCCACCCCATAGGGTCCCGAGCCCACCAGGAGTGAGTCCTGAGTGCAGAGCCCGGAGTAAGTCCTGAGCATTGCTGGGGGGTGGCCCAAAATCCAGGAAAAAAAGGAACAAGTGGTGGGTGAGAATGTGTGACGGCTCACGCCCAGCGAGCAGGACAGCAAGGGCAGCTCAGGGGAAGACCAAGCACAAAAGGAAGGAGAGAAGAGGCAAAGACAGTGAGGAGGGGAGGGGGTGGGCTGGAAGGCCGCGGGGACCGGGGGTCCTGTCCGTTCTGTCCTGGGCTCGTGGTTGCTCATGGTCGCTCTGCAGACCCAGTTTCCTTGCGGCACAACGGCCCCTGCAGGCGGGGACACAGCGGGACCTGGTCTTCATTCTTCAGGCACACGGTGGTGGGGGCTGGGGCGGGGGTGGCCGAGGACGTCCGATCCTTCTGCCCGGCCACGCCTGACCCATCGCCCTGCTCTTGCCGCTTCCCTGCGTCATCTGAGCTGCTGCCAATTGCCTCCTGACCGACGGGCCCAGCAGGGCCCAGGCTGTCCACTGCTGCTTTGCCTGCTGGGAGCTCTCGAGCTACCTGTTTCTGTCCGGGGAGCAGCTCATCCTTGCCTCTGCGTAAGGATCTGGCCGTGACTCCCCAATACACTTAAAGTATATTGGTCAGATTAAATGCTGTCCCCAGGGCCAAAGAGTTTTTTTTTTGGGGGGGGGGTGGAAGGTGCTTTCAGAGGTTCAAGATCCAGCACTGTCAGGAGTGACCCCAAGACCAGAGAGCCAGGAATAAGCCCTGAGCACCCCTGAGTGTGGCCCCAAAACCAAATAATAAACAAATAAAATTTCTAGGAGCACACGAGCTCTCGGGTTCAGCCATGTGCAGTGCTCCCAGGAACTGCAGTCAACTCGGATTTCGTGAGGTGGCTGGGAAGAGCTTGGCAGCCTTGGGGGTCTCGCACCAAGACCTGGGCTCAAACCCCCTCCACCGGAAGCAGCCCCCAAGCACCACGCCTGGAGTCCCTGAGCACTGTCAGGTGAGCCCCAAAATCAAAGAGCAAAAATAAAAACTAGGAAAGGCGGGCGGCGGTGTTCCCTGAGCCTCCTGGCCTGAGCGGGTGGGGCAGGCCGGACGCATGCGCTTCCTGGGTCCGAGACAACTCCCTGAGGAAACCAGCACGGGAGGGAAGGGCTTTAAGCAAACCATGGAGATGAGACTGTGAGGTTCAGGCGCTGGAGCAGGGAGAAAGCAGCACCCCTGGCATGGGGGGAGGCGGGCGCTGAGGGGCTGGGCAAGGTCGGGGCCACGAACTGAACTCAGGATGTTGATGCCAAAGCCTCTGCCCTGCGCATGGTGTGTGAGGCCCCAGGCTCCATGCCAGCAAGGCCAGCCCCTCTGTGGGAGCCTGGTACCTCAGAAGAGCAACTCAGCCAACACGCGAACCGGGAGGCTCCCACAGGGCACGCACGGACCTGTGTGCATGTATGTATGCGTGCATGTATGCTCCTGTGGGCATGTCTACACACACCTGTGTGCGTGTGCGCGTTGTGTTTATGCATGTACGTGCCTGTGTGTATATACCCATCAGCCTGTGTATATACGGTATGCACTACGTGTACATGTATGAGTGGCTGTGTGTGTGTGATCGCTTGTGTGTGCACGTATGGAATTATGTTGTCGAGGTATACTTCCATGAAGTCACACAGACTCATTCTATAGTCCTGTCATAGACGCTAACGGTGATGTGCAGTGTAGGAGTAAGCTCCACCCTGCGTAAAGATCTGCAAGGCAGGGGACAAAGAGATGGAGAGCGAAGCCCCAGCGCTGCACAGGCTCAATCCCGGAGGCCCGCCAGGAATAATCCCGAGCACAGAGGCGGGAGAAAGCCCTGGGCTCTGCCAGGTGTGACCCCAGAACAGAACAAAGCAAGACAGCGGGCGGAGGCTGGAGATACGGCTCAGGCGTGGGGCTCTTGCTCGGATGTGGGAGGCCCCGGCTCAACCCCAGCACTGCAAACGGCCCCTTGAAGCACTGCAGGGTGTGGCCCACAGTCAAGCAGAAAAACAAAACCAAATTCCACAAATGGGCTGGCTCGCGAGGGAAGGAGAGGGGCTTCTGAGTCTGCTCCCCTCCTGAATGGCGAGTCGAGGGGAAGGAGGAGTCGGACGTGAGGATGGAGGCAGGGCAGGGTAACCTGGTGGTGGTCGAGCGAGACAGGACTGGCCCCAGGCCTGTGCCCACGGTGCGTGGCCTCCTGGCTCCCATTCCCGTGTCATCTGTTTTGTATCTTCTGTTGCACACACACTCACTCCCTCCTCTTCCGCAACGAGGGTCAATGCAGGGAGCAGAGGAGGTGGCAGGAAGCGCAGCCCCCAGCAAATCCAGCCCCCCGGGACACATCTCCATTGTGGGCCCATTTCCCTGTGGACAATATCTCAGGACACCCTTGCATATTCGGACACACTTTAGTGTTTAGGACTCAGAGATACGTGAGGGGAGAAGCCACGAGGCCCCAGCTTTGACTTGTGGCCCCGCAATGGACAGAAGTCGAGGCCCCTCTGCATGTCGACAGGGGTGCAGAGGGACAGGAGGGAGCAGGGAGGGACGGAGAGAGCAAACAAGCAACGCCAAGCGCCAAGCGTTCCCCAGAGTCTCTGGGTCCTGGTCTGACCCTCCGATGACCCCTTCAGCTCCCCCACTTCATCCCTACGGCGGCCTGAGCCCTGAGCACCGGAGGAAAGGCCCATCCCTGCTCCTGTCACCGGTGGTGGCTGGGAAGCCACTTGCCTGCCCCCGGGAGCTGCTCAGCCCACCCGGTCCTGCTCCGCCTCTCGCCCCTGGGGCCTGGGAGTCTGTGGGGGCCTGAGCATCGCACAGGGCGGGGAGGGGGCTGCTTACTAGTCCCGTGTGGCTGGGCCTGCTGCTCACGGATGAGGCCACGGAGCTCACAGAGCTGAGCGAGGAGGCCGACGGGTGGCACTTCAGGCTGGCGGGGGTGGTGGCCATCACACGCCTCACGGGGGCTGCCTTGGCCTTGGCCGGTGTCGTGGAGGGGAAGCCGATCTTGGTGACTTTGTGAATGCGAACAAACAAGCCACACTTGGGCTGACACTGGAAGTACCTGCGGACCACGAGGAGGGGAGGGACAAAAAACACCTTTGGCAAGAGAGACAGGCGCCGACCGAGGAGTCCACTGAGTCCCACAGTCTCACACCCCCACAAACTAACACGCTCCCACAGCCCCACACTCCCACACACTCACACCCCAACACAGTCATACTCACGCTCACATCCCAACCAACACTCCCACAGCCCACAGCCCCACAGTCACACACTCATATACACACCCCTCATACATACATATCCACACCCCAACAAACACTCCCACATTTCCTCAGCCCCTCACTCACACACACTTACTCCCCAACAAGCACTCATACCCTCCCACAGCCCCACACTCACACACTCACACCCCAACTAACACACACACTCACACCCCAACCGATATTCCCACACTCCCACACATTCACACCCCAACCAACACTCCCACACTCCCAACGTCCCACACTCACAAACAACTCACACCCCAACAAAAACACACTCACACTCAAACCCCAACAAACACTCCCACAGCCCCACAGTCACACACACGCACACCCAACCAACACTTGCACGCTCTCAAACCAACAATGACACACTCTCATTCCCTCACAAACATGCTCACATCCCCACCAACACTCACATGCTCATGCCCTCACCAACACTCTCACAGCCCCACACTCACACGCTCACATACACACACCCTCCTACATACATACCCAAACTCCGAAGCACACACATTCATACATTCACACACACACTCCCTCGCACGCCGCCCACATCCACCACGCAAACCAAGGGCGATTCCAAGCAGCCTCCCCGGCATCTGAAGGGCGACAGCAGGGGGTTCCTGCGGGCTGAGCACAGCTGCATGTGGGAGCCCCAGGCTGTACCCACATCCCTGCAGGGTCCCCGAGTGCCACCGGAAGCGGCCCCGCCTAAGAACCAAGTGAAGTGGCCTGCAGTCCCCTCAGCGCCTCCCGGGCACCGTGCACTGCCCCAGGCTGTCTGGGGGGGGCAGGAGGACCCACCTAGTTCCGGCCACAGCGCCATCGTTCTTGCCCAGCGGCTTGTCCAGCTCCACACCACACCAATCCCCCTTAGCGAAGTTGGTCTCCCCAAGAAAGCGCACCACACCGGCCTTCACGCCTCCCACCTGTCGGAGGGACGCAGGTCAGACACCCTGGACTGTGCACAGCGCCCCCACCCCCAAGAAGGAACATTCTGGCTTTGAGTAGGGATTTCCTTAAGAAACCCCAAAGGTCAAGGTGCCACTTCCCCCTGCAACCCCTACAGAGTGAGCAGACGCTGCTGCTCAGTGTCCATGCAAGGCAGCGGCGTTCACACCCACTCGCTGTCACTGGTGGCCTGGCTGAGCACACCCCTGGGAATCTCTGACCCAGGCCAGCCACCTGGTGTGGCGAGGGGGTCGCTGCCCCGCGGGTGTGGGAGCGGAGCCGTGGCAACCCCACCGCTGGAGAACAATTAAGCCAGAAACCAGCTAAAGGAAAATGACTGTTCTCATATCTTAGCGGACTTCAATTTTCCAGTTCTCCTTCACTATGCCTTGGCTTGATGCTTGGCCCCCGGGATGCAGAGCAAAACAGAGAAAACAGATGGTCCCCCTAGCCCGCCAAGAGTGATTCCTCAGTGCAAAGCCTGAGTGACCCATAAGCACTGCCAGGAGTGGCCCCAAAACCAAAAAGTCAAAACAGAAAGGGGAGAGAGAGAGAGAGAGAGAGAGAGAGAGAGAGAGAGAGAGAGAGAGAGAGAGAGAGAGAGAAACCTCAACTAATAATGCCCGAGAGCGCGGTTTTCTTTTTTCGGGTCTGGGGTAGGACTGGGTTCACGTGCTCGGGGGTCACTCGCAGCATGAGGGGTAGCAGCGTCACCCAGGACTGTCTCTGCGAGTCCTGAAGTGCCATCTGCAAAGGCCCTGGCACAGCCTCCGTGGCCAGGCGTGGGCCCTGGGCACTGTGAGTGTGACAAGGAATAAAAGAACAAGAGAAAGGTGGCTGTGGTGGCGGCCCTGGGCTGAGAAGAGGCTGCAAAGTTCCTGTCTCACAGCTGGTCATCGGTGAAGAATTTGGCACAGAACATGCCGTCCCCGACCCGGAAACAGCGTCCTCTAACAGCACAACTGGAAGTCAGTCAATTCTCTCAAGAACCTGACATCATATCCTGGAAATATCATCTGCCCAAAACTGCTGCAAGCCTGTCTCCAGAACATTCTGTCAGAGCTCAGCTGGAGAGAAGGGAAAGTGATCTCCCAAGGCCAGGAGAACCACCGCACATCAGCCCGGAGAAACTCTTCACGGTTGGGCTCTGAGACGCCACAGGACGGACAGAGTGACCTCCCGCTCTGAGACACCATAAGACTGACCAGAGCAACGGACTGTCCCGCTCTGCTACCCCTGCCTACTTGCGAGCACAGACGGGACTTGAGGTCAGAGCCAGGCATTTCCAGTGACCCCACTAAGTGTCCCTGAGTCTCCAGAGAGAACCAAAGTAGCACAAGCATGGGGGCAGTCTGTCCACTGCCAGTGACAGGGAGTGCCGGGGGCAGGGGACCGTCTTCCACAGGCCTGGAGGCTGGAACAGCCACGTCAGAGCCTTCAAAGGGCTCCTCGGAGGTCAGTCCCGTAAACATCGGGGCCAGCTGGCGCAGAACCTGGACTTCCTGTGCGCAGGGAAGAATGGGGCAAAGGGCAGGAGGCCCTTTGGAGAGCTGGGAGGGCGCCAGCCCTGCACGGGAGCTTCGCCTCAGTGCCCCGAGTCCAGCCTCCACTCGCCACGGCCTCCTGACCACGGCTGCGTTAGGCCGTGGAGTGCCAAGCAAACCTTCCTTGAATTAGGAAAAAGACCAAAGAAAGTGTTTGGGTTTTCTTTTTTCCCCTTCTTCTTTCAGAAAACAGCCATTATGCTGGTTGTGGTCCCCCAAAAAAACCCCCAAAAACTTTTTTTTGAAAGGCGTGCTCTAGCTGAGGTATGGAGCGATGAAACAGCATAGACAGAGGGCAGGGCGTTGGCCTTGCACACACCTGCCTGGATGTGGTCCCTGAGCACAGGGCCAGGACTCAGCCCTGAGCACCACCACCAATAAATGAATAACTGATCAGAGTTATTCACCGCAGAGCCAGTGGCGGTGTCCCCGCTCCCTTGTTCCAACGACACTGGTGTCCCTGTGTCCGGGTGTGGACGGTTGTGAATGCAAGTTAAAAAAAAAAGTCTTTTTTCTTCTTTGGGTCTTTGGGTCATACCTGGCGATGCTGAGGGGTGAGTCCCGGCTCTGCATTCAGGAATCATTCCTGCGATGCTTGGGGTCCCTATGGGATACCGGGGAACCCGGGTTTGCTGAGTGCAAGGCAAACACCCTCTCTGCTGTTCTACTGCTCCAGCCCCCCCCAAACAGTCTTTAAACCGTGTGTCTCCTCCAGCTCCAATTCCCTCCCCGTGTTACTCTTTGGCCATCCCTGAACCCTGACCGTGACCCTCCAGGACCCTCCGAGGGCCACCCTGCGCCTGCAGGCAGGTCTCCTCACAGCTCTCCTCTCCGGCCTCCACAGCTCTGACACCGGTCTGGCGATGGCCATCCCTGTGGTCCCCGGGAAGCCACTGGCTCCGGGCCAGCCCCCAGTCTGTCTGGTCAGAGCCGCCCGCCTCAGAGGTGCCCAAGGGGACTTTTCCCGGCCGCTTCCCACGGGTTCTGAAAGTGTTATTGAGTGCTTCTGCTGGGGGAGAACAGTTGTCTACAGCCAAGCGCCTCTGCTTAGGGGACCTGTGCAGAGGAATGGGCTTGGGGTGGACTGAGGATGCCATGTGCAGGGACTTGGTGACCCCCACCCAAAACTCATCTCACGGGGGTGCCCCCTCGCCCCCACCAAAGGGCTTCCAGGAGCTGCTCAGAGAAACACAAGAGCAGGTGCTGAGTCTGAAGATCAAGCAACCAAGACAGCAAAACATACTCTTGAGAATGTTCCGGAGACGGGTCCCTACCCGTGGCCTACCCAGGGTCCATCCCCGACACCCCAGTTGGTCCCCTGAGCCCTACCAGATCCCTGAGTTCAGCACCAGGAGGAAGCCCTGAGCACGGCCAGGTGTGGCCCAAACACCAAACCACACACGTCTGGAGAGACGGCTCAGGGCTTGCGCACAGCTGGGCACTGAATGGCCCAGAGCGGCTCGGGGTGAGCCCTGTGAAGCCCCAAACACGACCATCAGAAACCAGAGCAATGGAACCGATTTCCAACTTTGTTCGTTGGTTTGTTTTTTGAGTCAGAGTCAGAGTGCTCAGGGCTTACTTCTGGTTTGGTGCTCAGGGATCACTACGGGATGTGCTTGGGGGACTGTACATGGGACCAAGACTTAAAGCCCGGGTCAGAGGCATGCAAAGCACGCGGCCTCCCCACGGCATGACCCCTCCACCCTGTTTTGGCTAAACTGGTAAAACTGGCAGAATCCCTGCACGCATCCATCATGCTGGAAACTGCAGGACCAGGCGTCCCGGCTGCTCATGCTTCCACCCAAACCGCGAGTCTGCAAAAGCTGATGGACCAGACAGGCAAATGGACACCCACCCGCGACCGCTGCCCTCGGCACTCACCAGCACCCGGTCCCCGAGCTTCAGCTCCTGCTCCCCGTTCTTGAGGGAGCCAGCCTCTGAGAGGTTGGAGATGGACTCGCTGGCCGTCCTGGTCAGGTTGCTGATGTGAGGGGCGGCCGGTGCCTCCTTTGTGGAGGGCTGGGGCGCCTTTGGGGCGGCGGCAGGGGCCGGGGAGGCCGACCGGGGCGGTGTGGCCGGGGCAGCAGGCGCTGGCTGCAGGCCGTTGGTCTCATCTTCAGCCTGCCAGTTCCTGCTCAGCTTGGACGGCCGGGTGAAGATGCCCTTCAGCGGCTCGCACTGGAAGTAGCGCACACCCGCCACCGAGCCGTCGTTCTTGCCGATGGGCTCGTCCAAGACGATCCCGGCCCACTGACCAGGGGCAAACTGGGTCTCCCCGAGGAACTGGATGAATCCAGGCTTGTTCCCCTTCACCCAGACTCGTTCCCCCACCTGGAAGTCGTCCACAAACTCCTCCTGCGTCTCCGAGGAGAAGGCGCTGGGGGTTTTCTCCCCAGGCACGGACTTCTCAACGGGAGCAGCCGCTGGAACAGCAGAAAGGGTCAGAAGGGTCAGAAGGGTCAGGAAGAGTCTGTCCAGGTCCAGTTAAAGTGTGGTTGGGGGGGGGAGGGACACCCAGCAGTGCTTGGGGTTCTCCCAGACAATGCCGGGGGCTGCTTGTGGCGAAGCCTGGTTGGGCCCACCATGAAGGGGACGTGCCTACCTACTGCAGCATCCCAGGCCACAGTCATATTTGGGCAGCTGAGGGGAAATCTTTGGACACACCCCGTGATGCTACGGACCAAGCCAGGCGAAAGCTCTAACCCAGTGTCTTATTTCTGCTGTGTCCACTGGCCCATCTTCTTTTACTTTTAGGGGGAGAGCACCCCAGCCAGTCCTCAGGGCCTATTTCTGGCTCTGCGCTCAGGGTCACTCATGTGACGTTGAGGCTGGAGAGTCCCATGGGGTGCCGGTTGCCCTCCCCACTGTCCTGTGGCTACGGCCGGCAATGAGGCCCTTTAGTCCAGGTGAGTCCACCTCCCTCAGCCTGTCCCCAAGCCCGGGCGAGGGGGCTAGCAGTTAGGAGGGAGCGTGTTGGTCGCCTCAGCTGACACCAGTTGCCGTGACACTAAAGTCACAGAATGTGACACTCCTGTGTGAGAGCTGTCCCCAGAGCCATGAACGTGCCTACAGCTCAGGGAGTCCTTCCAGGGCGAGGACTTGGGAGGGGGTTCCCTGGTGGGAATGAGTCTCCCCTGGCCCGGGCTGAGAGCACTTACCGGCCGAGGGTGCCTTCAGGGCCCAGCTCCCATGCTTGAGGATCTTGGTGGGGGCCTTCAGCCCGCTGGGCCTCAGCAGACTCATGGTCAGGTGGTCAGACGCTGCCGCGGCCACTACCAGGCCCTGACTGTCGAGCCCACTGTGGGGCCTTCTGAGGCGCACTCGTTCTCAGGGATAAATCTCTGAAGAGCAGAGGAGAGAGTCTGTCTCAGGGGAGCGACCACAGCAGCTTCCGGAGCCCAGAGAGCTGCCAGTCTGACACTCGCCACCCCCAGTGCGACCCCCAGCCTCCCGCACAGCCCCCTGAGCCCACCAAGTGTCATTCCTGTGCAAAAACTCAATCCCAAACAGACAAACAACTGCAGATTTGGGGCCAGAGGGCAGAGGGGACAGGTACTTGCCCTGCAGGCAGCTGACTCTCACGCCCTCCCTGGCATCACCCCCAAACACATTCAGGAGCCAGAAATCATCCCTGTGCACTGTGAGTGTCACTGACCACGTTCCCGTCCAGACACTGACTAGCCGGGAGGCGACTCAGCAGTGATGGCTGGTCTTGTGTGTGCGTGTGTGCGTATGTATGTGTGTGAGAGGCCCGGGGTTACACAAAGAAGCTAAGGCAAGCAACACGCACACTTTTTTCTATGGGCTGAGAACTGCCAGGGAAAAGGGCCCAGCAAGACTGCGCCAAAGGGGGGCTGGAGAGCGATAGCACAGTAGGTAGGGTGTTTGCCTTGCACATGGCCGACCCAGGTTCGATTCCCAGCATCCCATATGGTCCCCTGAGCACTGCCAGGACTGATTCCTGAGTGCAGACCCAGGAGTAAAGGTGTGACCCAAAAAGAAAAAAAAATTGCGCCAAAGGGGAGCGAAGGAGGTTTTGGCGTTTCCTTCGTTCCTTGTGACACTGCCCAAGTTTGATAACCACAAGCCAGTATTAAATGCATTTCTTAACCCACAGAACTGAGGCAGACATGTGGATGGGGGAAGCATCGTCATGGCAATGGAACTCCGAGGAAGTCAACAATAGCTTCATGGCCACCAAAAGACCACCTGAGGGCACGGGACCCAAGGTCTGGTCAAAATTAACCCACATTAGGAGGCCCAGAGCAGGCTGGACCCCCCGAGGGAATAGGAACAAAGGCCAGTAAAGGAATTTCTAAGAGGACCTTGGACCACTCAACTCTACCCCTTGGCAACCACCCTAGCAACGGACTCTAGGTAGCTAGAAACTCCCACCAGGGGCAGCCTGGGGAAAACCCGAGATTAGCCCCCTTGAACCAAGGGAGGGCGCTCATGTGTGCCCGAGCCCAGGGACTGCTCTTGCCTACGAGGTCGGTCATGTCACAGGCTTCTCCCCTCCTGAGGTGTGGACTTTCGGACCGAACGCAACCAGGCAACCTAACGTGTTCAGTGGCTTTCTGCACCTCTGGAGAAGCCGCACTCTCTCTCGAGCCTGTTACTCCCTCCCTCATTTCCCCTTCCTAAAAGCCTCCAAATAAAATGTTCCTGCTTCATGCTCATCTCCTGAAATGCTTTTCTGCGAGAAGGACAAAGGCCCGGGGGCCTGAGGAGGTTGAGGATCGACTCCCTTTCCCTGCAAAGGGCAACCCCTCACTCCGGCCCGAGACCCCGGGAAGGCCTAGTGGGTGTTGTGTGGCTGGTAGGGCTCGTCGCGCTCATCAGTGCCAGCGCTCCAGCCAGTCCCGGGGGAGTGACATCTTCTCCTCTGCTTCTCATCAGCCCCCCATGAGGGCCCACTGACTTCAGAGTCATTCCACATTGAATAGAAAAGTCCGCAGGGGGCAGAGAGGCAGGACAGTGGGGAGGGCACTTGCCTTCTATCCAGTTGTCCTGGGCTCGATCTCCGTCAGCACAGGGACGTTAGCCGGCCAGGGTGACCCCTGGGCACAGCCAGGTATGGCCACCCCACCCACCCCCACCCAGCCCCCCAAAATATATATATATATAACTACTAAAAAAACTTAAACGAACTAAAGATTAAAAACTATCATACACTAAAGAACTTTTAGAGAAAAAAGCCGCCCACACGCGGGCAAAAAGCCCAGAGACTCAGATTCACCTGTGTCACACTGCACTCGCAGCTTAAAGAACTGAGCTCTGCCAAACAGGCTCGTGCCAGTCTCCTACAGAGACTGAAAATGGCAGTTGGAGTCTAGAATGTTCCAAGGTAGAATGAGAATTCCGCAAGGAGGAGGGCATCATGGGCCCTTCTTAAAGGGGCAGGCGCCACCCTTTGTGATGCCAGGGTCCTGCTGAGGCTCCGGAGGGCTGCCCTGCAGACGCCAGCACTAGCTGGCCACTGTGCCTCTGGTTCCTGCGGGGCCCAGTTCTGGAACCCTGGGCCCTGAGAAAGTGGTTTCAGAAAACGTTTGACAAATGTTTGGTAGTTACAGATCTCCAACTGAGGTCATTCGGCGTCCCCCGAGTGGGACCTGGACCAAGTGACCGTGCCCAGGGCCCTCCTCAGGAGCCGGGCCACAAAATCTGTGGGCGGGGTGGGGGTCGAGGGGCAGAGCGACAGGGCAGAGGCCCTGAGCCTGACCCTGACAGCCCTGCTCTCTGTGACCCCAGTGATGTGAGCAATACCTGCCGCACCGTGGCCAGGGAGTGGCCCAGCCCACTAAGGCCTGAGAGCTGTACAGAGGAGTCTGGTCTGGCCTGCTCGGATGGGAGCACAAGCTGAATGAGTGCGGGTCCCCTCGAGGATGAGTGAGCAGGGACGGGGGAGTGGTGGGGAGGTGGGGAGGGCGGAGTGACCTAACCTGGGGGCTCAGGATGGGACACCTGGACGGGACACCTGGCGGTGCTCAGGGCCGACTCTGATTCAGTCATCGGGGCTCATGCTGGCAGGGCCTGGGGGGGTGACGTACAGGGTGAGGTGGGGTCAGCCACAGGCAAGGCAGGCTCCTTGGCCCTGGGCTACCCTTCCGGGCAAGGATATCTATTTTCTTTCTTTCCTTTTGTTATTTGGGACACCCGGCAGTGCTCAGGGTTACTCCTGGGTCTTCACTCGGGAGTCACTCCTGGCGGTGCTCAGGGGACCTATGGGGTGAGCCATGCACCAGGCAAGCGCCAAGTCTTGATGCCAAGGTGCCCACGAAACACAGTGTGCAACAAGGGACTCTACAGAGAACGTCAGGGCCAGCAAACGAGGAAGTCAATCAATTCTGAAAAAACACAAAAAGATGCAAAAGGAGGGGCTGAAGTGAGAGCACAGTGGGGAGGGGTTTGCCTTGCTCACGGCTGACCAAGGTTCGATCACCAGTCCTGAGCACTGGCAGGAGTAATTCCTGAGCATCACTGAGTGTGACCCAAAAAGCCAAAAAAAAGAAAAAACAGCGCGAAAGAAAATGTGTTTGAGCCTTACTGTCTCCCTGAGACTTGAGCACTCAGTGCCATGTGTGAGCCCAGTAGAGTCTCCGGCCTGAACATGCCCCGACCCCCTCACCCCCATGCTCCTGTGTTTGGACCGTGACCCTAAATCCTGTGATGGGACCACGTGTGTCCATGACAAAGACGCTAGCAGGCTCACGCCCTAGAACTTCCCTGCTTCACACAGGCGTGGCACACGGGTGCTGGCCTGCTAGCGGCCGGCAGTGATTCGGCAGGAAGCAGAGGTGTGAGCCTGAACGTGGGTCAAGTCCGTTCCTTCAGCTTGGAGGGGAGGAATGTCCGAGAGGGGGTTTTGAGCACTGCCTCACAAGCATGAGGTCCTGAGTCCAAGCCCCCGGGGTCACACGTGCACCTGGCACAAATCCAGCACAAACCCGGCAGCTCTGCTGTCCCAGCACCATGCAGGAAGGGGGGGTGACCCCAGGGGGAGGGCCACCGAGAGAGGAGGGGGACACCACAGAAAGGAGGAGGGAACACAGGGCAGGAGATGAGGGCTGCAGGCCCGGGAGCACCGGGCAGAGAGCAGCCCTGGGGAGCAGGAGGCCAGGCGGGCGCCCCTTGTCACTGGCCACTTGAGGCAGTTGCACAAGCCGTGTGCAGACCCACGAGGCTGACAGGGCGCCAGGGACGGGGCAACCCCAGCAAGGATTTTTCTTTAAGTTTTGGGCCATGGGGCCAGAACTCTAGTACAGCGGGGAGGGCGTTTGCCTTGCACACAACTGACCCGGGTTCAATCCCGGCATCCCATAGGGACCCCAGAGCACCTCCAGGAGTAAGTCCTGAGTGCAGAGCCAGGAGTGACCCCGGAGCATGTCCAGGTGTGACCCAAAAACAAAACAACAGCAGAGCAAGCGGAAGGGCCCGGAAGCTCCGAGCCACGGAAACGCCGAGGTTGGTTGGTGCCCACTCGCCCCCGCCCCCTGCCAGTTCAGGCCAGCCTGGGATCAAGGTGCGCGAGCGTCCCCAGACAGGATCTGCCTCAGCGGCCTCGGTGCGTTATCTCAGCCTATCACCCAACTCGACTGGGATTGACTCTGGTTATCTCCTTGACTGGTTACCTTGGGCATCTCCGGGGCCAGCCGCCAATCTCCGTCTCCCACGTAGCCAGGGCGGGATCAGGTGTCAGCAGCTGGGCCCTGAACACCCCACCTGCCTGTCCAAACGCACTGCAAGCACAAAGGCCAGGCTCGCCCCCAACTCGTAGGACACGACCAAGCCAGGGGCTCCAGAGAGCACTGGGCCCGAGGACGGGTCCCAGAGACCCCCAAATTTCCCTTGCTCGACGGCCCGGCCCAGCAATCTGCATCAACCACTGGGCCCGAGCTCTCTGCTTTCCTTCTGCTTGCTCAGCGAAACGCAGCACGTCACACCTGTGTTTGGAGGGGAGGAACACCAAACTTTTTTTTTTGGCTTTTTGGGTCACACCTGGCGATGCCCAAGGGTTATTCCTGGCTCTGCACTCACAGGGGTTACTCCTGGCTCTGCACTCAGGAGTTACTCCTGGCATTGCTCAGGGGACCATATGGATGCTGGGACTCGAACCCACGTTGGCAACGTGAAAGGCAAACGCCCTACCTGCTATGCTATCTCTCCAGCCCCGGAACTCCAAATTTTATATAGAAAACAACGTATTTCACAATGCCTTTTCAGCCATTCTGATTGTTGGGGTG